CTGATTCTGATTCTGATTCTGAAAAAAAAAAAAAAACAACAACCTTGAAATATAATTTAACCAGAAATATGTTCAGCTTTAAATTGAATGACAAATGTAATAGTTATAAAGAGTTCCAGTCATGTCAGTAAATGCTGGTGCAGCCTATGTGTATTCTGGAGTCACATTGCTCATCAACATCTGGCAAGAGTTCAGTTAATACCTTCCACTTTACTGCTGTAGTATAACAAGTAATAAAAAATGGCCCAATTCATCCTCCATAATTGTATATATATATTTTTTATTATAATGTTTTTTTTTTTTCAAAATATGCAATAACAACAAAAAATGTCACCTAGGAGCCTTTACTCAATAAACAATTTGTTAGCAGGAATCCTGTCTCCTCTTGGAAACAGCCTCCTCTGACCTCCGTCTGACAAACTATTTTGCTATATTTAAAATTAAAATAAATGTAATATGACTATTTTATGAAAATATTTGTTATGCTACCATATCTCTTGCATACTGTAATGTTTTTTAGTTAACTTATAGTGATGTTTCTGCTTGGTTTTTTGCTTGTACTCTCTGTTCCTGCATGCCTCAGCCCCAAAATAATGCTTGATAGATTAAATGTTCTCTTTATATTGCTACAAGTTTTGATCACATCCATTTATGTTTTAATCAGGTCTATTAAATAGGTGCATTGGATAATTTGAAGCATTGACAATTAGCTACATCTAATTCCTGACTTTAAAGTCTCCACATTAATTTACAGTTGCACCACTTGCACATATTACCCAAATGAGTTTTGGTTCATAAGATAAACATTCTAAAACATGTCACTATGAATATATAAAGTTATATAAAGGATCAGAAAGGAACAATCTTATTATTCCCACAAAGAGAACTTGAGATTCTTATGGTTTAATAAATTTGCCCACCTTACAAATTCTGCTCTGGGCCCATGTAAGTTTGGGCTGGCTCTGATTGGGCCCTTTTTTAGAGTTTATATTTTAGTCACTGAAAAGTAGAGTTGTTTCACTTAATTTTTCATAAAAGTAAAAAAAAAAAGAAGATGATCATTGTATTAATTATTTTGTTATTTTCATTTAAATCACATGACTTTTGTAGGCTTTTGAGTTCAATTAAGCCAAACTCATTGCTACTTTAATAACAGAAAAAGAAAACAGATTTTCTTCCTTTTAGAGAAGGATGTCTCCAAGCTCAGATTAAAATACCTTTGATGTTTACAAATACATTTTTTAGTTGAAATGTTAATGAGTTTCTGAGCATAACAGGCTGATTTAAAGTGATAAAATCAATCATGTAGGTCAGCATAAAGTCAGTTCTGATATTTCTTTTCCTTTTTTAATTTACTTTGCAAACTTTAATCTTTGCTTTCAGTTTTTTTTCCGTTTGGCAAAAGACCAGCACTAAATATTAATACCCTCTGATCAAGATGGTGTTTTTGAGGCTTCGGCTGCACGACAAGTGTTTATGGGTTGTTTGGAAGGAAATTGCTCCGAGATGAAGATCTGCTGGGTAGTTCAGACGCACTAGGACCCAGAGCAGAAGCAAATTAAGGACAAGCATCACATAAGAGGCTT